CATATCTCAGAAAGAAAATGCGATCGTGGGTTTTCATTGTGTTTGATGCAGTGCTGTAAACCTTGAATAATAACAGCTTGCCTCTGGAGATGCTTCACTTGACCTGGGATTCAGAGATAAGTCAGAACTTGACGAGAGAAAGTGGAGTTGCCGAAAATCTGTGCTGTAGGTGGATCTCAGCAGCTTCAGTTGCCTACTTGTTATTGTTGTTAAGTGCCATCGAGTCTGCTTACTAGTGCACAATAAGTGAATCCGGCGACAAGGACTCACTGTGGTAAACATCAAAGGGAATTTTGTGAAACTGTTACCGAAGCTATGTCAGCAGTAGTGAAAATCTTGCCCTTTTTCAAACCACCTTTTTATCTCATATTTTGAAAACACAGTTCTTACTGGGTGTGGTGTTTAAATACATATAACGTCCAAAATATGTGTTCATCCACTGTGTTGTTGTTAGGTGCCATCCAGTTGGTACCAACTCATAGCAACCCTATGCACCATCCACTGTGTTACAGGTTAGTATAATCGTCAGCTCTAGACCATTCGTAAAGTTAGAGGAGCCAAAAGCTATGCACAGAGTTTCGACTGTGACTCAAACCTCCCTAGGTTGCTCAAATGTCAACTGTAATCCGTGCCATGGGAAGTAACAAAAACTCTGCTCATTAGATCCGTCAATTACAACAAAGCAAAACCACAAACCCTCATGGAATTCAAGCGTCATCGTTCCACTTATGTGCTCCAGAGGCCACGCATGGTGTTTTGTGGTCTGGGGAGCGCCCACGTCGTCTCTGCTGAATTGTGGCCCCAGCATATGACAGTTGTCCTGTCTGTCTGACACCCTGATGACCCTGCTAAATTGGACATTTGCAATATGTTAGCTCAGGACTTTTCTCCTGACCGGTGGAAGGAATGCATCTTTTAAAATTCCTTTTCAGTCTCCCAAGTTAACACTTGATTTAGGAGAAGAAATTTGTACATTTAATGGGGTGTCATTTGTATAGAAGGAGCTCTGGTAGCGTAGTGGTTATGAGTCGGGCTGTTAACCTCATTGTCTGCTAGTTTGAAACTACCGGCGGTTCCATGGGAGAAAGCTGAGGCTTTCTGCTCCCATAAAAATTTACATCAAGGCACACCACCACCACCACCATCTGTACAGATAGAAAGCACAGCCAATTTTATTTCTCTGTCTGTCCCTCAGATTTGGCCTACCTCTTGAATGTGTGTGTTCGGGGTGTTCTCCATTGTTTGATTGGAGTTTTTGAGCTAAGTTAATAGAGAGTTGCTAGAACACGTTTATATTAAGCTGTTTCTCTGGGTCTCCTGGGAAGCCTGTATGTCTTGGGTTTTTCAAGTTCTTTCTTGGTGTCATATTTTTGTCCTTCAGGAAGCTCAGGAGATAGATTTTAGTGCTTGGCTATACGTGGCTTGGAGTCCCGGTGTGGCACTGTGGGTTAATGTGCTGGTCTGCAAGGTCTGTTTGAACTACAAGGTCTGTGGTTCAAGCTCACTAGCCACTCCTTGGAAACCCATACCAGGTCACTGTGAGTCGAACTGACTTGAAAACGCTCAACAAAAACAGAAGTGGCTTACTTATGGCCTTCCTTCATAGATGAGTGTCTCGGTGATCCAGCGCTGCTTTGACAGCAATGCCACAAGGGGGTGACTCTCACAAACAGAACTTGATTCTCTCACAATTTAGGACTCAGGGCACCGGCTCTGGAGAAAGGGCCTGGTCTCCTTACAGCATCATAGGCCCAGCCTTCCTTGGGGCACTTCATGAGTCTTGGACTCAATCTTTCCCTGGATCTATCAACTTCACACGTCAGGGACTCCAGGTCCAAATGATGCACCCGGCTCCCCGCACTTCTTTTTTGGTGGTAATGGGTCACTTTCTGTCTGCTCACTTCTCTCTGTGTCTCAGGAGAGATTGACTCAGGGTACACTCTAACCCGTAAGCCGTGTCCAGCCTCATTGATGGCCTCGTTTAAGTGAGGATTTACCACACATAGGGAAATTCCATCTGGTCCAGGATGTGATGGGTCAGGGCAGGGGGAAGGACTATGTCATATTAAATCTCATCATGAGGTGAGAACTACATCTGAGCTGCTGAGCAACCAGAACCCAGGTCCAGTCAATTTGACACAGAACCTTGCCTGTCACAAGGAGTGTCTTTTTTTCTCATTTAAATGTCCCATTGCGTACTGAGTGCTTTCTTCTCTGGTTTCCTAGGATACCGACTTTTTCCTGAGATTCTGGCAAGCAGCGCTGTGCTTACCTAGAATTTGTATTTGCATCTTAAATCTCCCTGAGGGAAAGGCAGGGGCCATGGTTGCACAGTGGGTTAAGCACTGAGCTGCAAACCGCAAGGTCGGTGATCTTACCCACTACCTCCTCCACATTCCGGAAGATGAGACAGTAGGCTTCTGTAAAGATTTACAGCCTCGGAAGCCTTGTGGGACACTTCTAGGCTGTCCTGTAGGGTCACTGTGAACGGGACTGATGCAGTGCAATGGGTTTTCTGTTGTTTTTTAAGGACAGGAGTACTAACACCTTGTTTACAATTGGCACTTCCCACATGCGGTCAAGTCAGTTCCAACTTGTGGTGGCCTCGTGTATGCCTCAGAGTACAGCTGAGCTCTGCAGGCTTTTTAAGTAGCTGCTGTTTTCTGAACTAGAGCACCAGGCCTTTCTTCTGAGATACCTCTCAGTGAACTCGAACGGTACCAGCCTTCCAATAGTTGCGTAGTAACTGTGGGATGAATGGCTTTTCTCAGGGGTGTATTGTGTATCCAGTTATACTTGCTCTGCTTTCTTTTGCTGGAGTTGACCAATTTCCTTTTATTACTGATTCTGATGAGACAGAAAGTGTGGAAAGTCATTTTGAAATGAAGGCGGTGAAGGGTGAAAACAATTTCTCATTTTTTTCCTTCAGGCAGTTGATTTTCATGTCTGTGGCTTTAGTTGCTTCAGTAGAAAATCCCATCAGATGGGTGGACATCCAATAGTGACCATTTTTCCTTGAAGGTTACTTAAAACAGCAACAAAACGGCATCTATATACCGCCTAAGGAATCCTGCTGGTGTACTGGCTGAGGTCTTAGCAACTTACCTCCCAGAGGCTCCATGGGAAAAGGCCCACTGAGCTGTTCTGTCAGGATTTCAGCGTAGAAAACCCCAGGGGACAACTTTTGGTCTCTCCCTGTGCAAAGCCAAGAAGAATGAAGAAACTCAAAGACTCGGGGGAGCCATCAGCTGAAAGGGTTAATGGACCAGAGAACCAGATAGATGTACCTCGCTACCACTGCCGCTTTGACCGAGGTCACAATGGAAGGTTCTGGATAAATCATAAATCTCACAATTCAAAATCATAAAAAAGGTCAGCCATACTGGTCTGGTAGGAGTATGGTGGAACCCCCAAGGCTGTGGCCCTTAGACATCCTTCTAAGCTGGAGCTGAACCTACATCCCCAGGGTCTCCTTTTAGCCAATCAGTAGACAGGCCTATAAATGAACAGGAGCACTCGTGTGGAGCATGTTCCTCGGTATGGTGAGCATGAGACCCAGAGGGTAGCATTTGCCCCCAAATAAATGAAATGTGTACACGTGGCTGCCTGGGAATCTAATTTCTTCTGTAAACTCTCACCCAAACCACAGTAAAATAAAAGTAACAGAAACCCCAGGGCAGTTCTGTGTTGTCACCTGGGGTCTCTATGCATCTGAGTCATCAAAAGTACTCAACAACCCCTATCGCATGGTTTCCAAGGCTTTTGCTCTTTACAGAAATAGAGAGCCTCATCTTGCTCACACAGAGCAGCTGGTGGATTTGAACTGCTGACCTTTCAGTTAGCACCCCAACATGCAACCCACTATACCAGCTAGGCTCCTTATATTTGTTGGTGTTAAGTACCATTGAGTCGGTTCCAGCTCACAGACATCTTGTATAGGGTTTCCAAGGAGTGGCTGGTGACTTTGAACCATCAACTTTGTGGTTCACACCAGCATTGCAGTTCAGTGCTTACCCTACTTATATATATATTAGACCTATAATAGTGGATGGTCAATGAGAAAGAGGAAGACCCCCAATGAAATGGGTGGACATCTTGGGAGTAGCAATGGACTCAGACTTAATATTTGTGAAGTTGGTGCAGGACTGGGCAGTGTTTCGTTCTGTTGTGCACCGAGTCACCGTGCGTCAGAACTGACTTGCTGGCACTTCACAACAAGATTATAGATAATTTCCTCAGTTTGAGTTCCTTGATAGAAATAGTCACTCTCAATTTCTCCAGAGATTTATCACTATCTTCTCGATCAGTTGTCTGTAAAGCTCTGCAGGTCCTGTAGGAAAGGGTCTTCTGTTGACCGAACTTTGGACCAGGTGGTAAAGGTACTTTGGCTGCATCTCTGCCTTGCCTCCCACCACTCATCTGTGTGCCTGGGGTACTATGGTGACATGAGTGACCCAAGCCAGGTCTTTTCAATAACCTCATATGCCTGTGAAAGTTGGATAAGGAAGACCGTAGAAAAATTGATGCATTTGAGGTATGGTGTTGGAGGAGAATATTGAAAGTTTCATGGGCTGCCAAGGTAACAAACATCTGTGTTGGAAGAAGTGCAGCCAGAGTGCTCCTTGGTACCTAAGATGGCTAGACTTCATCTCTCATACTTCAGACATATTGTTAGGAGGGACCAATCATTGGAGAAGTATACCATATTTGATAAAGTTGAGGGTTGGAGAAAAAGAGGAAGACCCCCCAGCGAGATAGATGGGCCAAGTGGCAGCAGCGATGGTCTCAGGAGTAGCAATAATTATGAGGTTGGCGCAGGACCGGGCAGCATTGTGTTCTGTTGTGTGTAGGGTCACTATGAGTCGGTGCTAACTCAGTGGCACCTAAGAACAACAGCTCTGGGTGTTGTCAGACCCACACTTACTGTGAGGGGGGAGCATGGCAGCATTGTGTAAACCCCAGGGCCGCCCGTTCTTGACGGTGGTCTTCTCTGCCCACAGCCAGTGGTTCAGTGTGCTGAGCCAGGTGCACGCATCTACAGACCAGGAGATCCGGGAGATGCACGACGAACAGGCGAACCCCCAGAATGCCGTGGTGAGTGAGTGTCTCCCTGGAGCCAGGGGTGTGCTGGGGCAAGCGAGGCTGCAGGGCAGTGGGGAAGGAACCTCAGTGATGATTGTTAAACAGCGTCCTTTTGATTTTTTAAAGTTAGATTATAATAATTAAATGATAAAGTAAATGGAAGGCATACTGGTGGCACAAAGATTTAAGTACTAGGCTCCCATAATGATTGTGGTTAAGTGCCTTTTACGTCCGGTCTTGCATAGGGTTTCCAAGGCTATAAATCTTTACAGGAGCAGAAACCCTCCTGTGCCTCCCATGAAGCGGCTGGTGGCCTCGCACTGCGGACCTTGTGGTTAACAATCCAGGGCTTATCCTATAGCTGCCCCGTCATGCCTCCCCATTAAGACTGCAGCCCAGGAAACCCTGTGGGGTATCTCCACTGTCCTACATGGTCACTATGAGTCCCTGGCAAATGAAGTCAATTATGGGTGAAATATGCAAAGAGGTAAAGTAGGGGACCAGGAAGCAGTGGGGACACCTTCAGGGAGGTACACTGACACAGTTAACCCCAACAGTGAACTCAAACCAATGCCTGTGGGGCTGATGCAGAGCCAGGCAGCTTGTTCCTCCCTAGACAGAGCCGGAGCCCATGATACATTAACTGATGTCACCAGAAAACCAACAGGGAAACAGGAACGTCGTGCAGAAAAACAGAATTAATTACAGCAAGTTCTATTAGATTCTGATTCTCCCACCTGAATCCTTTCTTAAAAGGACATAAGTCCAAAACCCCAATTTTTGTGGAATCCTGGAAGCCTTTGACACTTTTTTTTGCCATGGGTTTGGTGATTTTCTTGAACGTGTCCCAGTTTTCACTGCCTCCCATAAGCAGAGCCCTAGCACTGTGGTTTAGAAATAAAATTCAATCCCCTTGTTTTCCTGAACTCGAGCAGCATTTCTTAGATAAGTCAGTAGAAGAACACGGTGGTACACATCAGAAAATGTGTCTTGCTGACAAGTGTTCTTAAACACTCTTCTTTGAAGAGCCAGAGGGATTTTTTTTTTTTTTTTTTTTTTT